CTCTTCACTAATTTGACAGAACAACACTTGGGTCCACATCACTTTCTGACATAATCTATCTTCACTTACTTCAGTCATGTCTCAGCAGCAGATCAGGTGAGTCTTGCCTATTCTCTATATAATATGATAAGACACGTGTAATTATAAGTTCGTCAATATTTGCACTGATAGAAAATTACTCACAATGAGATAAAAAAAAAAAAGGCTAGTAGTTGAGACTAAAGCGATTAATCATTAAAGTGGTTGGCAATGACTTTTTTTTTTGTTTGACTAATCAGTTCTGCCTCAATTGTATTTTATTTTTTTCTTTTTCATCATGTTATACTTTAAGGTTGATTTTTATAACTAAATGTCATCACGCCTTCTGTCATCTTTCAGCCTTCCAGCCAAGCTCATTAATGGCGGTATTGCCGGCATTGTTGGGGTCACTTGTGTCTTCCCCATTGACTTGGCAAAGACCAGGTTGCAGAATCAGAGACAAGGTCAGCAGGTCTACAAGAACATGTGAGTATTTCTAGTCCTGACTTGATAAACCATGATGACTAATTTATCCTTTTCATACCTTTCCAGTTAGGTCAGCCAAATGATTTGACATTCCTTTGTATGGAAGTTTACTGACTCTTGTTACTCTGGCTTTATGATGACTAAATGACATAATTAAGATTTGTCAAATGTATTTCTTTGGCCAACTCTGTTTAATGTGCTCATACTGATGCATTTTTCTTGTTTCTTTGTTCTGCAGGATGGACTGCCTTGTCAAAACAGTTCGATCTGAAGGCTACTTTGGCATGTACAGAGGTAAGGCGTCTGTCATCCAAGTTTTAAGAATTAATAGGCTATAAAGTGTTGAAGAGGATTAAGTGCAGGAGAGGGTAAGGCCCTTCTGTAGTGAGGTCGGACATGATTTGATTACTACTGGGTATATTTAATCTTTACTGAGGGCTAAGGTAGTGTTTGTCACTGCATGGTTTTCTTAATTTACTTAATATACAGTTGGAACAAGCTGTAAAAGAGAAGGAGCTAAAGCTGTTCTCGCACAAAAACGATTCTATGGCTTTAATCTAATAGCATACATGCAGTCATTAGGAAAAAAGCATGTCCTGTTTAATTATCAGCTAATTGATTTTAATGTAGAAAAAAAAAGTAAAATCTTGTGGCTGTAGTTTGAGGTAAATAGAGGCCTTTAGTCTGGGTCTCTGCTTGTGTGAGGAAAGCTTTGTTTGCATCTGTGTTTTTCATATTACAGACTTGGGTCCCCCTGGGATATTGAAGGCTAGCCGATAAGGCGCAGCCACGCTGGAGGCAAATCATTAATGGTTTTTACAATATTGCTCTATTTAAAACTATGGGCGCAAGTTTTTGTTTTGCCTTCTGTTTGTTCTGTAATTTGACTCCTTGTCAGTAACTACTTGGCTGTCTCTTCACTGTCATGGATCCTCCGTTTTCTAGACTGTGAATTGTGTCCTTTCAGACTTTGGTTAATCTTGCAAATGCATCTGTCAGTGAACCATTGAGATGGACTCGCAGACTGCTTTCCAAGTTTGCCCAAAGTCAGTGCACGCAGTACATAGTCAAGGATTCAGTCTGTCCTGTCACTAACATCTCCATTTCTCTTGTCTGTTGTTGTCATCCTTAACCTACTCGCTGACCTGTGGCCTTTCTGTAGACAGATTTCCTTCAAGTTTTCTCAACTTAAATTGGCCCTGTTTCATAAACTGACTTACTATATTTCAGTCGTGATCTTTACATGTGCTCTGAGGTTCATTAACCTCCTGTGTCTTGTCTTTTGCTTCTTTGTCATTCTAAAACTCATTTTTGGTTTCTCTTGACACCACCCCCCTTCATCTTTATTACTTCAGTTACTGTGAACTGAGAATTTATCTCATCTGTGTAGATTTGCTAAACAATGGATTAGTTGCATTCTGGCATTGTAAATGATAGTGGTGGGGAATGTTTTGTACATGTACTATGTAAAACAAAGATTGCAACTTCAGCTCTAATTGTGTTTGTTTTTCTCCCCAGGTGCTGCTGTCAATCTGACCCTGGTTACCCCTGAGAAGGCAATTAAGCTAGCGGCTAATGACTTCTTCCGCCATCACCTTGCCAAAAATGGGTAAGTAAACATGTGGAATCATTGAATCAAAATGCTGTATCCCATTATATATGTTGCTTAATTATTTTCCTGTCTAACAGAAAGGGGCTTACAGTGTTCAAAGAGATGCTGGCAGGGTGTGGCGCAGGCATGTGCCAGGTCATTATCACCACACCCATGGAAATGCTCAAGATACAGCTACAGGATGCAGGCAGGCTGGGTGAGAGAGCTAGAAGTTTTACACTTGCTGTCAGTTGTACTTATTTTACTCAGTGCCAGCCTTCACCCCAGTCTCACTGTGTATATTAATGTGCATGGTGTCTTTTCTCTAAAGCGGCCCAGCAGCAGAAACCAGTCATGATGTCCCCCACCAAGCTGCTGGCCACAAACACCGTGCTTAGCCGCGCCTACAACTCTGGTGCAGTGGCCTCAGCACCACGAGCTGTGTCAGCCACACAGATCGCAAAGGAACTGCTTCAAACCCAGGGTATCCCGGGACTCTACAAAGGTCTAGGGGCGACACTGATGAGGTATTCTTCTTCTTCACTCCTGAACTGGAAGCAAACTTGCTAAACCAGTTTCTTTTGTATGTATAGTTCAGTTTGAAACTGTTTTGTTTAATCTCTTTTTCAGGGACGTTCCATTTTCTGTTGTCTACTTCCCTTTGTTTGCCAACCTGAACCGCCTGGGCAAACCCAGTCCAGAGTCGTCGTCACCCTTCTACTGGGCTTTCTTCTCAGGCTGTGTGGCAGGATCTACTGCTGCAGTGGCTGTGAACCCCTGTGATGGTAAGTCTTCAGAGCCATGTCCTGTATAGCAGCAGCTCTGTAATGTTTCTGGAACCTTGTGTAATTTTCTTTTTTGGTTTCAGTGGTGAAGACCAGACTGCAGTCACTGAACAAAGGCTCCAGTGAGGAGATTTACAGTGGAGTTGTGGATTGTGTGAGGTGAGACAGTTGAGACATTCATTGTTGCACAGCCACCTTTAATTTTCTTCTTTGTTGCCTATCTGTAAATTAACCCACCTCTGTAACTCCACAGTAAAATCCTGCAGAAGGAGGGACCCTCTGCCTTCCTGAAAGGTGCAGGCTGCCGGGCTCTCGTCATTGCTCCTCTGTTCGGTATTGCACAGGTTATGTACTTTATCGGTGTTGGAGAATACATCCTGGACAACTCGCCTCTAAGGCTCTTGTCCCCATGAGACCATGTCGGCTTTGCTGACTGTCTATGCATAGGACCACCTTGAGTGTGAATGATGGAACAAGTGGCAGCCACATCCCACCAGTTTACAGCAAAACCAGTTAAACAAGTCTGGTCTAGTTGAGTTACACTTTGTAAGGACCTCTCACTTCATCTTCTGTATGGTCTGACAGCTGTGTAGCACTGAAACACTATAGTGACCTACTCAGTATGTTTGCACTTGAAGTTCTTGGCCTTACTGGGTTGTGGGACTCAGTTGCGGTGTCATGGTTCTGAGAGAGTCCTCTTCCATTTCCCTCTGTGAGGGAGGGCGCTCACTGCAATCAGTAAGACATTTTAGTTTTCTTCCATGCTAACATGTTCCATATTATTTTAAAATGCTGAACATGAGCCTGTGATACCTTTCTTTGTATGTTTTTCCTTCCTTTTCCATCCGTCTCATGTTACAAAGCCTTCCAAGTTTCGAACAAAGGCTTTTGACGGGGGAAATACATTGGACCCAATTACACAACTTGTTGGAAGGGTTCTTTTTGTTGTTGTTGTTGTGTTTTTTTTTTTAGTAATGGAGTGTACATGAAGCTTTTACTGACATGGGACCATAAGGTTTGCAAAATCATAAATAGCCTCCTGTTACATATTTGATTTTAGCCCTACCATTGTCTAGCAGTCTGTGAACCACTTTTATATCTTTCTGTCTGGAAGAAAAACTTGAGATGCATTCATGCACATTATATATGTTTGTGTACATAACGCTCATATGCTACACATGGATACCTACGAGTTCCTTTTGGTGTATGCCTTACCAGAGCAGAGTAGCATTTTTCTCTCGATGCTCTGGGCAAAAAAAAAATTACTGTGACCATGTTAACAATGACTGTTACTATACTTTGTGATGGTTTTTGTACATGCTATGCATTAAAATTAGCAATGCACTTAACAGTGTTTAGTGTTCATTCTCATGAATAAGTGAACATGGATCATGGCAAAGGTGAAGGGAAATGTATTCAGTTAAATGAAGGGGATACACAAAGTAACCAAAGCTGCATCAAGAGTTTCTTTATTAAACAAGTGCAGAGGCATAACATCAACTATATTCTACTTATGTGGACATTTGTGCTGCTTTATGACACCTTGTTTGAATGTGTGTTAAACCCGCAGCTAAGATCATGACAGTGGCAGCTGCTGCAACAAAGGCAGTAACAAAAGCATTTGTGTGGAGACAAAAGTATGCAAATAGACCACAGTCAGAATAAAGACTTGGTCAGGTGTGTATTTATACTGAAGTCTGTATGATGCACTTGAATGTTAGTTCGTCACCTTAAACGCAGCTTGACAAACAACTTTAACACATTGTCCAAAAGCTTCCAGCCGCACCCTATGGACATCCTCCACAGCGTTTCTCAGTGTGTTTGAGCAGTAAGTGGGCGTTGTGGGTTCTGTCTGTCATATGGCCGCATTTTGTTTCCTGCATTTGTCAGCATGACTTGACTCCAGGTGTATTACTGTGCTGCCACCATTTCATGTCAGCGAGCCTGTACAAAGTGCTGATGTGTTCAGGAACCAGTGAAAACCACAAATTTTGCAATCGGCCGTCTGCAAAGCAGACTAGTGACTCAACACTTCAAAAGTGGGAAACAAAACAGCCAAACGTTAATAAAAGCACCCACATGTTTTTTATTATGGTTATCAGTATGACATAACCTATATTATTCTATATTTCACATCGTATTGGCACACCAAGAACATGTACATCCACAATAAGTCAGAAAATGCAAACTAGCTCAGTTACTTTTCACACATGCACCAGAAGTGCCCAGGATGCAGTTATCTTTTAGATTATTTAGAGATTTTCAGAGTGGCAGTTTATCATCAGACCTTCCTAACCCTTTGGTTTGATATCATTTCTACACTTCCTCTATTGTTGCTAAATAGAAATACTTGAGAGTGGCAACGGAGCAAACACAGTCGCAGTATCACAATAAGTAGTACAGTAGCTGGAGGCTTGTTTGTGGGACTATAGAGGCACAAAATGGAAATTCACGCAGCAAAGGTAGGCTAGTCTTCAAAACATTTAAGCACACAAAGTATGATTGGCATTAGGCCTATAAATGGTGTAAAAGGACCAGAAAGGGCACAGAATAACAAATGTTAACAGCAGATCTGTAAAATAGGTATTTACAGCAAATACTCCTCAGTCAAGACATTCTGTGTCAAATAAGGTGGACTGTGTTGCACTAGCGGAGCCAGAAATCGTGTGGGTAGGGCTACAGAAAATAGGGTGGGCCTCTTCCAAGACCATTACCTTGGTGATACCAGCCCAAATCACACAATTACAACCATACCTGCCTATTTTTTCAGCAGTTTATTACAAACTGTGGCATTACTGGCACCAAGACGAACAAAGAAAAATGGCCCAACAGCATGTCAAATGCACGATGCACCACATAACCACACACGTGCACACCTGATTGGGTGGGCCCAGACCCACCCACTCAGAACCCAGGCCCACCCCCAGCTGTGCGGCTGCTGTGTTGTAGCTACAGTGCAGTGCTGTCGCCTCTGCAGTGTGGCAGCAGTGTAACAGAAACGTGTTAAAACCAGGGAATGTCAGAGTCGTGCAAAAGCAAGAGTGCATGTTTTGGAATGTAAGAGAGAAAAAATTGAATGTTTCAGTGCTGGTGGAGTTGAGGAGAAGGCGTAAAGATCCAGCGTATTGTGTTGAATGCGGCCTGCGGATAAGTGGGACTACTGGGATTTACTGTTGTTACTTGTGATATTCAGGAAACCTCCCCACCAGATCGATCTGAACTATAAGAAATGATGTTGAGTGTAACTTTGGTGTTTCCCCTTCTTATGCAGATGGATTGATTCTGAAGGGTTCAGTGAGCTTGTAGGGGTCTGGCTGGTGGAGGTGGGTGGGGGGTCAGCTCACCATTTATATAACCTCCCTGCTGTTCCTGATGGCACAACACAGAACCATACTGAAGATCATTCCCATTATCTGAAATCAGACACATTTGTCAGGCATGTTAATGCATTGAAGGCCTTGTATTTACCAGTATAATCAGCAACTTTAAGACAGAGACAACAACCTAAACAGTTATTTTTGTTTGATGAAGCTGAAGATGTAAATTCTCACCATTACTCCTGCAATCCCAATCCCAATGTATCCAATGATGTACAGCTTGTCATTGAAGAAGTTTGTTATAGCAGCCAAACAGTCCTGGCAACAACAACAAAACAATATACCATTTATATAGATAATTAAATAGTTAATTAATAGTCCTCTTGTGCATAATATAAGAAGTGATAAAACACATCAGGCAGCAGCAAATGTCATTTAAAATGATGCTATACCGCCGCCATGTGGGTGTAAAGTGTTATAACAGGCACAAGTGTTTACCTGTTTGCCCTGTGAAGAATCATCTTCACATTGTGTATTAGTGACGTCTGATTGGGAGGTTCCACAACAGTTGAGCTGTAGATGCAAAAGGAATGAAATGGTAACACAGGAGGCCACAGGAAGGAGATTAATGAATACAAGCTAAGCTTTACTCACAGTTTTGTGGTAAATAAGGGCTATTGCAGTGCCATTCGGACTAGTGACGTCATTGAAGGAGCTACTGTAAAACTTCTGGACTTCCTCAACAATCTGTTATTGGTAAAACATAAAAACAATACGTTACTTATGTGATGTCTTACATTTACATGTCATATTACAAAAATAGAATTAGTTAAACGCTGTACCTGCTCCTTGTTTAGGAATCCAAACACACCGGCGGCGACCTCTGCTCCAAAGATGATCAGAAGGCAAGCAAAGAACTGTAGAAGAGAAATGAGGCTTAGTACTGATTTTTAGTGAAGGCTGCCTTTTAATACTCAAAAGGGTTAAAGCAGTAATTTGGTACTACTTATAGGGAAAGTAGAAATGCCCCTGGAACAAGGCTCCATTTATACATTTATGCTTCATGAAACAAAAAAATGTGCCAGGTCTACATCATAAAATCAAACAACAAAAATCACATTTATTTATAAGTACATTTAAAACAACAGAGGTTGGCCAAATTTTTAAAATTGTGTTTATAAAAATTAAGTGACACAGCAAATAAACATGACAGCAACAGATAAAAAGCAGTAATAAGTAATAAATCAAGTAATAAAAGGAGACAGCTGAGAACATAGTTGCACTAAGAGTAAAAACCAGACTTTTCTTTAAACCAAAGTAAATATTCAATGGCTCTTTGTATTTATTAAATGATATGGTTGTCTGCAGACACATTTCACATTGCTTTCATCTGCTGTGCACTGACAAAAACCTCCTGATTATACTGGCAAATAACTGCAATAAATTAATTGAAAGTGTACTAATCAAACTCCCTTGTACTCTTTTGCTTTCTTTCTCTGAACCATCTTAGTAATTTTAGGAAATTATTTAATTAAACAGACCTGCAAAAAGCAGCATAACCATGAAACACGGCAGCACATGAGGCGACTCTAACTTACTGATGCCAGAAGACACTGAGACTCGCGTACGGCCCCAAAACAGCCAAAGAACCCAACGATCATCATCAAGCCTCCTGCACCAAGGAGGATGTACACAGCTGAGGAGAGAAAAGCACAGATGGAATAATGCTTTACAATGTGTACATCTGTAGAACAAAATTAACCAATTAAATAAACCACCAGTCATGTAATGTGCCTGATACAGGAATCTATAATCTAAACAGACTAGAAGACAAGAATCTCGTCATGGCGTGTTGGTGCTCACTGTCACGTGACTGCAGTTCACAGCCTGAGCTGAGGATGGCAGCAGGACCCAACTGCTTTCATGTTGAAGCAGAATCTATAACAGGACTGTTGTTGTGTTGGACTAGCAGCAGGAACGTGTAGGAGGAAACGTCTTTAGTAGCCTCCCACAATTCAGTGCAATTATCAACCTACTCCACTGCAGCCACTTTTTAAAGCTTTAAGTAAAGATGAAAGAAGATGATGTGTCCTCACTTGATAAATGTGAGATTAGAACTGGGGTACAGGCTGGTCTAGTAATCACTGTGCATCCAGGTATCGACTGTTGAGACAGTCCAGTAAGTTATAATGCTGAGTGTCCACAGTGGCCATCTGTCTGCCTCTGTCAGCGTAGTGAACAAAACAAGGCCGTGTCCTCCTGCAGGCAAACTCCTGCCCATCCGTACGTCTCCTTCTGACCCTGTGCACTAATACAATCATATCTAAATTCAATTTGGTTTTGATACATTAGCGTTGCCTCCAATAACTCTGACCTTGTGCATTCATGGTGCTGCAGGATAAATCACTAAAACAGATGGCATCTGTCTAGTACAAAAAAGGCAAATCTAATTTTTGGGGGTGTGATTGCTACAGAATTAGACTACATCCTCCACCATCTTAACCCTCTATGAGACAGGATGTCATCACCTCCCCGGACTGCTCCCCTGCTCCCAGCCCACACAACTGAGCCCTTCACACTGTAACTATACACCAATCCGGTCCCTGAGGTCCATGCTAAGGGTCTAATCAGTGACAGAGAGAGCAACCACTGCAGCAGTTTAATTAATTCACATGGGAGGAATGCAAGCTGTTGTTTTGCTGCCGTTGAACAAAAGGGGAGGTAAAGCAGAGGTGAACCGACAGCTGTGCTGAAGGGAGCTGGAAGCGAGGGACATGCTGCTTCAGAGAGGAGTGTTTGGGTTAGCAATGGAAAATACAATGGGCCAAGACAGCCTCCACTGTATATACAAAGTGTCTACACAGACCTGATCTTGGCTGCTGATATTTTCCATCTTTTCCATCACAGCCTGTGCACGTTTAGCGGCTCCTCTTAGTGAAACCACTGATACCTAGCAGACACTTGCCAACTGCACTTCCTCTTTGTTAAAACTGGTGACAGGTAGTGAGTGTAAGTTTCACTTTGTCTCTATTTTGTACAGTATATGCACATAATGGCTGTTTACACATTGGAGAAGAGCAACAGAGATGTCTCAGTGGAAAGTGAATCACCCACAGGGAATGCCGCCACTTGGCTTTGTTATGAGATCACTCTGTGTAGTCTCTTTGCTAGCAGTGCCTGTAAGCAGCGACCCTCCACCGTTCTGCTCAGGAAGCTCAAGCTGATGATTTAGTTTGTTGCTAAAGTTACTCTGTTAGATGATCAGTCACCTGCAGGAGCTTTAAGATAGGCAGATAAATTGATAAGGCACACTCTACTGCAGTTTGCTGTTGTCTAAAAGGACAGATAAAGACTTATGTGAGATGTACTTTGATCTTTTACTTAGGAAAGAGAAGCAATAAAACAAGGTAAAAGTTCTCCATAATTAAGACTCCATCAGTATTATAATCGACATTTGCTTCAGATAGCCAAAGTATGTGTCCACTATGTCGATAGGACTGTTTCAGTGTGCTATGATGAATAACTGGATTATTATTACTGATGCATTAATGAGTAAGTACCATTTTAATGTTGTAGCTGCTCAGGATGGACATTATTCTGGCAAATTAACTTACTGTTGCATTGATATAAGATGCTCATTTGTTTTGGATGTGAAATCTTAGAGACGACGTTTGACAATCTGGGCACTACTATTTGTTTACTTGCCATAAAATTAGCTGAGAAGGTAATACTACTGTTATGTCTGTGTTTTAAATATGAAGCCGCCACCACCAGCAGCCAGTTAGCTTAGCTTCGCTTAGAGACAACATGCACAGGGGAACAGCAAGCCTGACTCTGTCCACAGGTGACACAATCCACCTATCAACACCTCTAGAACCACTGACAAGCACATTGTCATGTCATCTTGGCCAGTAGAAGTGACTTCCTGCTGGTTTCCTAGGAACCTTGAGGTGATGACAAGCCTTCAGGGAGTTACTTCACCTGGCCAAGACATATTCCTGTAAATATAGTGGCACGAAAAGTACAACATTCTGAAATCCAGAGGAGTACAACCAGAGGAATATAGAAAAACTCAAGTAACCTGTAAAGTACAGGCAGCCACACGACTGTCACGGTCATACAGAAACAAAACATTGGACATTCAGAAAAAGGCTTGGTGATATTTGCATGTCAAATTAAACCACACTGGTCAGGAATGACCTCACCTACTGTGTTTTGCATGAACAGATAGCATAGACACATAGATGTCTGTTTTAGCTGGATAAAGTTTATGTTCTTCTATGTAGATTAAACCGCATTAATGTTGAGTTCATGCTGTGTTTTTTCTATTTAATAATGCTTGTTAGGCTTTATTCTTGGCAACGTGTCTCATGATAAAGACATTTGAATCCCAGTTGGACTGTTTTTGTGTTAGCTAAAGGTAAAAAAAACTAAGACTTTGTCTTTGATCCTTCTGTACTTTTTCCTCTTCCCATTTGAAAAGCTCACTCTGTGGAAATTAGCTCATAATGGCTGCTGCTAACAGAGTCTTTTGGACAGACTCCTGACACCTGCCTCACCCAACCTGCTACTTATGTCCTGAGGGAGGCAGCCACTTCCATGAAAGCACAGCAGAGAGCTGATGAAGTGAAGTCACCATTTTAGGTCATGGTCTCAACCCGAGGAACAAGAATAGGCTTCATTCTAATCATCTGCTCCTACGCAGCGTGAGAGAGGGAGAGAGGGCCTATTGTATGGAGTCCTGCAATACTACTTCACACTGAAGGGCATTTGTCTCATCTACTGTATGTTTTAATCATCTAGTGTGCATTTGACTGGGAGCTTTGTAAAGGAGCTCTTCGTTCAGTATCAGTCAAAAGCCAACTGAGTGCAAAGTGCTTCAACCTTAGAGGATATTTCAGCATAGAGATGCAGCTGTTCGGTCAGACGCTCCGCTCCATTTGTCACCGTTTGTTCATGTCTGATATCTATAGCCCATAAACCAGACCACTAACACTAACTGTGCATATCATGAATCATTTCTGTTTTCACTTCCCTTCTGCACATACCGCCATCCAACGTGTGAGTGGTCTGAAAATTCAAAACAGAGAAAGATTTCCCCCTTAAACAAATGATGGCTAGGCTACTCCGGAAGGCGTAGAGAGAAGAGAGGAACCATAAAGGAGTGAGAGTAAAATGTGCCTGTTCTGCGGTCATCACTGTTCAGAAACACCTGCAGTTAAAATGGCAGGGAATCCCCTGGGAAGTTAACAACAAACCAATAAGACGTGTGTGGTGCAGCCCTGCTGAGGGCATCGTTTTGTAAAAATAAATGAAAAGGACAAAAAAAAAGAGCTTTTTTTACACCTGAAATTGTGTATTAATCTTTCTACCTGCTTTGTATCTTTTGTTTCACACTATGCTCGTTGCATCAAGACTTTAGGAGGAAGTCGGCACCATAGCATTCAATTTCTTACATCTGAATAAAATGTGAGTAGCTTTGTGGCTCATAAAATCCAAATGTGACTTAAACCTTCCGTATATTGCACATTTCTTGTATGAAAAAAAGGCTAACTGCGGTCCATATCTACAATGTTGAAGAGAGGTGGATACCCACTGAACTGGCACTATTAATTTATGAAATGCACTTTATTAAATGGATAGTGTCCATCAGTGTCCATCACAAGAAAGGAACTAACTTAACTGACTGTACTATCTAATGTTGTATTATATAATGTCATATTAATGTAAGGTGTGATTGGAACTTGCAGAAGCTGTGACGTACCTATGAAGAAGGAGTCCGGGGCTTCATTGCCTGTCAGCAGCTCCACTGTTTCTGGGTCAAACCTGAGCCAAAGTCCCACAGCCAGCACCAACAAGCCCGACAGCTGAGGAGCGGTACACACTACATTAATGTTCTTGCCATAATTACACACATTTGCAAAATAACTGCACAATTTTACAACAAATATGACTGGGTTCTAATTGATATATTTGTTGATAAACTCTCAGAGTTGTGACACATTTGCTCAGAAATCATTCACAGTTACACAACTCTAAAAATATTTTCATAAAGTCAGCTGTTTTCAATGTATAATACAAACCATGGAATAACCTGATATGCTGAGGTTTAGACCAAGCTAAAAAGCAGAATAGCAGGTGTGATGTTCCTGATGAGTTTTTAACAACACTCAGAGGACATCGTGCTCCGATCCAGAAATAAACCAGTCGTCTGAAACCAAGGTGTCACTGTGAGAAGGATGATGATGCCTCTGACTTTCCAGACACACCTAAAAACCACCACTATTATATTTAGGTAAAAGACAGCTGAGGCATTTTAATATTTATATCTGGTATAATTTGCCAAAGGATAATTCCTTTTGTCACTATTTTTATATCATGTGAAATGATTCTTTTAAACACATCCAAATGAGAACAAATGATTAACAGGTTAAAGACCTAAATTAGTTCCAACATTTCTTTGTTATAGTACCAATGTCATGTTATCATAATGCAGCTCAACAAATCCTTTAAACCTTTAACTGTGGACTGAAGTATACAGAATCACACCATTCAGTGGAAAAAAGACCAAACTATTCTGTTAAGTCTATGAGTCCTGGCTTCATTCAGAACTAACAAGTGGAATGTCTGCAGTGCTATTAAAAATGATTGACAAAGGAAGACTGCAGCACCTTGTAGAAGCTGCCAATCTTTCCTTATGGCCTGTCAAAGTATCATATCTTAACACCAGCATCACCATCAGCATCATTGGTCCGCCTCCCATGGTGCGTTTCAGCCACAGGCTGTGCCAGTCTCACAACGCCTGGGTGATGTAACTCACACTGGCATTGGCTGCTCATTTGGCTCTACACCCCAAAATGACAGCGTACTGTACGCCTCTTTTGGCTCCAACCACAACGGCGCTGCTTTCACTCCCTAAACTGTTAAACAAAGAGGCCGCTGTCTGTTTGGGTGACACAAGTGATCATTTTACAAAGCACACACAAGTCAGTGCAGCCACTTAAATTCATATATACTGTAAAACATCTGTATCTATTGCAGCCAACTGAAAGAGGCTAGAACATACAACTAGTCAACCAACATAAAAATGTATCACATAACCTGTTTTCAACCAAAACGCTAAACATGACCTTGTTACAGATTATCAGTAGTGACCATTTATTGCTTTTCTTTGTTTTAGGTGATAGAAAACTTTATCTCTTTGGTGTTGGGGCTATTTTCTAAGTAAAGCAAAGCAATTCAAAGATGTCACCTTCGGCTTTAGGTGATATGCATTTTTCACTATTGATATTTATAAACTAAAATAAGGTGGCCCCAATTTGGAAAAACACAATAACATTTCAGAAAACACAACAACGTGGTGTCCCAACTCCATGGCTACAAACCTCTAATGACAACAAATGCACCAAATTCATTTATTCATTTACTGTATTTATTCCACCTGCCTACATGCAGTGCACAGTGGCCTTGAGGTGCACCGCAACATATCAGAAAACAAAACAACATTTCAACAACAAATAAATAATTAAATATAATAAAAACACTGCATTTCACAAATGTTTAAAAACTGTTACGCTTTGTCTGCTTTCTGTAACGTGGTGTTTTACACCTCAGGGCCACCATGAAAAAGATTAAATAAGAAAATCATTAGCAGATTATTGGTAATAAAAGTCATCAATAGCCCTGCACCAACAGCATATTTCATATGACTGGTTATATGTATTTAACAATTCACAGATTATGAAATTAAATGTAGCTCTGATGCTGGATAAACACAAGGAAGGACTTGTAAACAAACAAACAAACAAACAAAAATACACGTGCATCTACATCGGAATTTGGTGTTTTTGTTATTATCAGGGGTTTGTGACAACTCCAAGAGTCTGCAAGATAAATGATAGGTTGTGAGCTGATTAACTGTACAGGAAGGCAAAAAAACAGAATTAAATGAAATTAAATAACATAAAAAAATAAAAACACTTTCTACTATATTTTGTTTTATGGGGTCACAACCCAGACAACTTACAAACCACTGCTCTAAAGCATATTTACTAAATGAGTGGACCCACCATCTAGACAGATAACCTGACATAATTCCAGATGGTAACTCACTGCAGAGCAAATCCCAGCTGGAGGAGCCTCTGCTGCCAGCAGGGCCACAGACAGGTGCCCCTACCTGAGCAAAGCTTCTGTAGAATAACAGCCCGAATTAAAAACCCTCCGAGATGTGCCTACAACAGATTAACCCTGTCTGTAAAAGCATACACTCCCTGCACTCCCAGACTTGTAACAAGAAAGTCTCAGCACACACGATCTGAACAGTGGGTGTGTTGGAAAAGTGCAACACACTGCACTGGTGTACACTGCAGCATGGCACGATACAGCCGAAATCAATCATATCAGTGTTCATATTTAGGGCGCACACGCTCTTACTGGGTGTGCTCATTAATTATTAAAACATTTCATAGCGGATGCTCTGACAGCAGTAAAAGGCTATTAGCGCTTTATAATGGATTCAAATGAAAAGCTGAACAGTTGTGTTGGCAGGACAGGTGGCTGGATGAAGTCTGCACGATTCGGTTCTCTACTGAATAACGAATCCAGACTACTTAAAAGCCACAAATAACGACATCGATAGACTGTTGAACATAAACACTACAATAAGGTGAAGCACTAACGGGTTAAATTGCTGGAAAATCACTTAAATGAATGCATTTAACCAATAATGGCTAAAAAATAAAGATGATCAGGCTCTTCCAACATTAGGTTAATTTTAAAATAGCTCTACTGTTGTTCCCACGCAAAACCATTGTGGAGCAGACTTACCCAGAAGATGAAGTTGAAGATGAAAAGCAGATATTTCACACATTTCATCCCACCCTGCACTTTGCTCATGGTGCCACCTGATTTGTCCATTATCTCCGATCTAACGCGCGACGCCCTCTGAACGCTCTTATTTTGCAAATCCTCGCTTCTTCCAGTTGAACATCAATCCATGCAATGATGACGAGCTGCACCGCTACACCGTCCAAACACGAAAACATGCGCACAAAGCTGCACAGGTTGCCGCTGCGCGCTCCGTGGCACCACCCATCGGCGTGATGCGTGGTGGGCGCTGAGCGACCCAAGGCGGGGCTCAGGGACGGGATGGGACCCTCGAGGGAGGCTCCTGGAGCTCCGCCAACAACGTCAGGATGTAATCACATGTTGTCCATGTGAATGACATTTGTTTGTTGATGTGACCAAATACCAAATTATATAACAATCTGTGTGGGGGATGGAGAGTAAAAACCAAACTGCCATCTCTTTGGACTCTTTATGTCTGTGCTAATTTTGAGAGAATGTGATTAATTAAACTTTCCACTGTAGAGGACAGCCGAGGGTCCTCTGAGCTGCTGCAGGACTGAGCAATACATTTTTAACTATAAGAAAATCATCACAGTGTCAGTCAGCATATGGCATGTTGAACTCTGTGATCTTTATCAACTCAGTAATCATTCATTTCAGACACTTTTAAACCTGTACATAATCCTACGCTGTGTCACTGATGTTCATGTTTATTATAAAGATAAATCACTGACTGATACAGTAAAAGAGGCTGTAGCAGGGACAGAATTTTAAAAATGCTCAATGTCCATGAATCTTAACTTTGTTCACGCTGGTATCATTAGGTTTATCTTGTTCTGGATCCTTTGGTGGCTCTGTAGAATCCTTTATTTATTTTCTCTTGGCCTAAAAGTAAACTTATTGAAATCTATTACAACATATATTGAAATGGCATATACTACTGTAAGTAAAAAAAAAGCGTTACCCTTAATTAAACTGCCTGTGATCTATTTGCATCTGTATATGTGTTGATTTATAAACTGTATTTGGTACCATACCTGAAGATAAAGTTATGTGTTTACTTGTTTGATGACTATTTAACATGCATGAACATGTACTGTTGTGCTTCAGTCCAGGTTCTGAGAATGCAGACTGCACAGTGGAACGTCACCAAACCTCCTCTGTGTCTTTTCAGCAGGCCCCAGGGGTCACCTCGGGTTCATTAGCTCAAGTGACACTCAAGCTTTTCATGTTTATACTGCCTTTGTTTGCTGCGCTGGTGTGGGAGGGAAACAGCGGCCCCCTGTTTGTCAGCCAGAGTATTAGTGAGGATCAGTTTGGGTCAACCATGAGACACATCACTGCCTACTTCTTCTGGTTTCTATCACATAACATCTCTAGCAAGAGAAAGCAAAAATACAAAGACAATTTATAATAGATAGATAGATAGATAGATGTTAACCAGTTTGGTCATTGAATCCTGATGTGAATTCAGGCGATAATTATCACAGAGTGTATTACACCCAAACTGAAATCAGATCCTCAGGGTATAATAGAATTCAAGTCCCATTATCCGTTCACAGCCAGCCACTCCTCACCCTCATCTTCTGTTCTTGACATGAAAATCTGGTGCAGTAACATAACATGACCATAAGTCGTGCCACTCTGCTAATCATAAATAACTGTTGGTGCTTACAAAATGTTAAATGACTTGGTGGAACAGACAGAAAGCACAAAACAGGGTTGAGGTTGATAATGTAATTGTGGCAGTGCCAGCGGGTGTTTTTAAACTCAAGTTCAGTATTTAGACAGTGTGCATCGACATCTGACACTATATCTGCAGAATGCATTATCAAAAGGGATAAAACTAGAAATAAACAGGGCAAAACAAATTCAAGTATAATGGGACTGACCATCTAGGGATATCACTGTCTAGTGATCAGATTGAGAAATGCAAACCCATTCAGCACACATTAGTTTTGTGCACCTACTTTTTGTGTTTACTTTGAATTATTATTTATTTTATGTTGTTAATATTTTTACCTTCTGTCCTACTTACAAGCTGTTTGAACTGTTGTATTAGCCTATATATGTCAAGATCTGTTTGCTAGATGTTTCTGGAACTTTCAGCAGCATCTCAGAGTCTTTGAAAATTATTTTTGTCAAGCTGGGAATACATCCAGTGTCAAGAATCTAATTAATGAGTTGTTGTCTGATAATTAACAAGAAATTGTGTAGGCTAGCCTGTGTATGATGTTTTAAAACTACAGTGACACATGGAGAGCCTTGAACAGCAAACCTATGCCACTAATATAATAAAATATCTCTAAATCATTTGTCAGCTGTAGGAATGATTTGGTTAACCTGCTCCGGATCAGCCAGCAGCACAGTTGACCACGGTTATCTACAGCGGTTAAAAGTGAACTAGAAAACCCGAGTTAACCGGAAATATAGCCGGTAACCCACCGATCTCTCTAAGTTAAGGTAATATGAATGCTTTTCAATGACTGTTTGGTCTTTATTCGGTCCTTACATAGATGTTTTCTCAATTAAACGCATGCGCAGACAGTGCACACCCACCAGTAGCAGCTTCCGGTAGCGGCTACAATTAGCCCAAGATATGTTGTCGTTTCGTCGGTAAACATGGTTTTGCAATTTTGTCAACTCATCGCTGTAAGAGCGACAGACTCATGGTTGTCCTTTCCCTTAAATCCACGAAGCGTCAGTGCTAAACAACGTTTAGTTGTGAACAATAGATCGGTGTTAGGGTATTATTTCCAACTTCCCGATTTCTTCATGATGCCTAACCGAAAAAGGCCTCAAGTATAGGCCTAAAGTCATTTTGGGGTCTTTTGGCTTTTTTGTTTACACCTGACCAAATACTGTCAAGGTGGTAACTGCGTACACTGACTCATTAGCTGTAAACTACATAAGTATGGTATTAGTGCTTTTACTTTAAAGGATCTTAATACCACTGCAAGCAGAATAGTTGTATTTCAAGATATATTAGCGTAATGCAGCTTTATACCTCTAGAGGGCAGTATTGCATTTTGTTTCTGTTTAGTGCAGTGACTGCTGACTGAGGAAAACAAACTAGTGAAATAACCATGTTTGCGCTGAAAATTCATATTTACAGTTGACAGGAAGATAGCAATTTCTTTTAAAACTGTTTCCCAGAATTATATTCTCAGCAGTTCCCTGTCTCAGTTTCCATTTTACCTCCAAGCCCACATCAGATCGTCAATCTTAAATGTCAGCTGTGGTGCAAAATTAGGCTGTGACCCTAAAAACATCACAACTGTTGATGACAGTCTGGTTTGAGTGCAATTTGTAGAGTGCTGACGAAACCAAAGTGTCACTGCCAAAACAAAGAAGACGGAAAGCCGTGAGATTATCAGCAGGTCAGATTGATGATTCATAGCTAATGTTATTCATATTTATGTCATTTTCTTTTTGTTTCATATCTACTTTGTAATAAAGAGCGGGAGAAAAACACAACACAGAGCCATAAACTCTAAATTACTGGCAGTAAAATGAAGCCATATGGGTTTTCTCTTAAATTTTCCATCTAGGCTAAAAAACTAAAATTTCTTCTCATAAACTGTGCACTCAGTGTTTGCTTGAGGAACAAAAAGCCTACCATTCATACAATAAAACACACAGTGCATGTATGTAAGTGTTTAATAAATAACAATATTAACATTAACAAAAAGTTTGCTTATATCAGACCTGGGTCAAATTGTATTTTCAAAATGTGTGGGTTACATTAGTCTGTTTAGAGTTAGTGGGTTTGCTAGGGCAGTATAATGGGTGGTAGAGAAATACATGATTGTGTTGTGCTAAAACTCCTAAGGCCTGTTGTTCTGTCACTAGCTTAGCTGTGGTTTATAGTTTAGGCCCGGTTTAAAACCTGCTTTGTGGTCTCTTAGACAACATTTCTGTATCCTCTAAAACTGCAGGTTAAACAACACTGGTTTTGTTTCTGTGCCCTTTAGACTCTTCTAAATGCCACTAGGCTGCACAGGCTGAACAGAGCTTTAACGTTGTAGAATTCAGGCAGTATAAACTAATGTAACAGCATAAGCCCAGTAGACATGAGGTCAGTTTGTTAGTAATTAAGGCAAATGAGACATTGTGTATTCACCTGAGGTTACAAATATTACAATATGATTTACAGATGTGTTCAAATTTAGCTGAAAAAACAAGATAATAATAAAAATGTGTTTGTAGTGTAACTAGGCTATAAATGACCAAACACAGACTGTTTATGATTTCAGGGGGATTTCTGAATTCTTTCCTTAGCACTTAGTGATAATGGAAAATCAGTCAGCTGAAACCAGTTTTGTTAATTATATTTTTATGAGTCTGAATCACTGACCAAGCTACAGTTTAGTTGCCATTCAAATGAATCTGGGCCCGATTGTTCTTCATTTTAACACTTGATGTTATACCACTTTCTCTTTTTTATTTTTTGCATTCTTTAGAAATACAGACAATATGTATAAAGCTGGCTTTGATTTATCAACTTGCAGTGAAACCTTTCCAAGCTATGTCTGTTAGTTAAAATAGTCAGATGTTAAGTGGCAAAGCAACAGCCCCTTAATACTTCTAGCAGGTTAAAAAACACAATAGTTACAAACTATCTGCAGATACTATTTGACCCAGGCCTGGTGTATATACATGCAGTCCTGATACTTTGACATATAAACTACCAATAACTTACTTTGTGCAGAGGGTTGGGCATCTTTGGTGATAAGCTATGCAGAGAAGGTCACAGCTTTCCACATGAAAGTACAAAGATGTCTGTGTGTACTGTATGTGGCTGACTGTGTGGTCCTGTGAGTGTGATGTGCAAGTCAAGTCTTCACTGCCGCCATGACTTGCGGCTAAGCACACACACACAAGCCACATTAATGCGTATGAGCCTCCATGCCACCAGGTTATTAAACGAAGTCAGAGCTCGTACAAACGTGTGTGAATTGGTGCAGTAAGAGTTCCAGTGTCTGGCATCAATTCCCAAACAAGATGAGCCGCCTGATTGAGAGCTCTGACACGTTGTCTCAAAGAAGTACTGCTTCTTGTTGACATTGTTGATATTCACGGCTGGTAGTACTGTCACCTCATTGCCTGAGATGTCCGTGGCTTTGGTCTTGTTGCCCACCCAGACACTGATGCTCTCACACACTGAGTACACCCCACGGTGCTGAGGCTGTCCTGCTCGTCTGCGGGTCCTTTTACTGATACCCTGTGACCCTGCCGGCTCTGCATCAGGGGGCTGGGAGCTGAAGAGCACCCTGGGTGAGAGGTAGCGGCGCTTGGTGAAGAGTTTGGGGTCCACTGTGGGGATAGAGTTGGGGTTCTCTTCTGGATCCTGCTGCTGTTCCGTCGTGGCGGTGCACGAGTGCCCTCTGATGGAGGCCACAGCCTGGGCACCGAAGAAGAGGAACAGGACCAGCATGGACGACCTCATGGGCACACAACCTGAAATTGTCGACAATCACAGAAAACACTTCTGTTACTGCAGATATACACTATTGTGCAAAGGTCTTAGGCCACATTAGATTAATTGTTATAACAATGTTATAATGATATTTGTCAGAATACAACTAGAAAATATAGAAAATATGTACATAGTAAAAAAAAAAAATCAGCAAAATCAACAAACTGGATACTCATGATGTGGTGTTCAAGCTGTTCTAAAGAAATATGAAGAATCTGGAGGGGTTGAGGACAAAAATAGGAGCAGAAAATCAAGAAAACTGTTCAGATCTGTTGAGGAGTTTCTCAGAGTTTCTTCTTTGAGAGAATGGAGGAAATCTAGCAAGGACCTGGCTCAGCATCTGGCAGCTTCATCTAGATGCCAGGTTTATCCTTCCACAGCCTGAAGATACTTGATCAGGAATGGCCTTTGAAGGACAGCAGCCCAAAACCACTTTTTCTGAAGGTGGACAGGCAGAAAAGGCTGAGATATGTTATATTTCCTGGATTTTCTGGTTATATATTAATAAAGAGACTGAGAAATAAAGATAATTGATCATTACAGCATTGCAAAAACAGCAAACCTAATGGTGACCTAAGACATTTGCACAGTACGGTGCAGTATTATCACATGGTAACAAGGCCTTGTAGATGGTACTTTAAATCTGCATTCTGGATTTTTGGGCACCTTTGGTCAGAAGAAACAATCTGTGAATAGAACACAGACATATTATCACAATATTAAATGATAGATTAAACAATTGTATGTTTATACATTTAACAACATCCATTTGGAGTTATGTTTCAGGCCACCAGGCAAATGCAGTGTCCAATATTTTTCCTTTTAGTTTTGTCCATTAACTCTGGCTGAGCTGGTGCTGGATAAAAACAGTAGTTAAGTTGGTATGTAGAGCTTTCACTCAATGCAGCTGCCTGCCTTGTGAGACTGAACCAACACAGTGAAGCTGAAGGTCACAAAACCAAAACTATGAGCTGAACATTGTTGTAAAGCTTTGTGGTACTGCAGAGTCAGTCATAATTCTCTATGAGTCCATGTGACATTATAAAAGTACACATTATAGCTGATTTGATAAAGACACAATACTTCATTTCCTTTTTCCTGAGTCAGGCACAATAATGAACACAGTATTTTTGTACATGCCTGATGCAGTTTCAAGGTATGAAAAGGTATCTGCACACATCTCATCCTAGTGCAGGCCAGGTGCAGGGTAACAGAGGTAAAAATGGGAAGCATGTGAACACTGGATTACAGCTCCAGATACCCGTGGGGCAAGAAAATCATTCCGTTTCATTCCACTGAAGTTTTGGCAGCTTTAATCCAGTGTGCGGACACTCCCCCTCTGGTTTCATGGTACAACACGTACAACAGTAACATTAACCTAATTTAGGCTCGTGTAGTACCACCTCTTTAAAGTAGGAAAACACACCTTGCCTTACACAAAGGGATTGGTGACAGTTTTCATTAGCACAGTACAAAACAATTACATTGTCCTTTATCAGACCTTTGACAAGGCTTTCTTGGTCTGCAGCACTTCATTCCAGGCCATGTCCTGATTATAGAAGTTCCACAGATGAAATTGTCACTTTTAGCTATGATTACAAATGGTTAATTGTCCAGTTCTACTTTTAAGACATATATTATGTTTATAGTTAAGAGTGTACAAATCCTAACAAACTACAGCATGTAGGATACTGGAATGAAGCAGTGCCTAATATCGAATTTAATGGTTAATGATGAAATTACTGATTTCATTAAATTCACACAGAGAAAGCCACAGGAAACTCTGGGCAGTACAATATCCTGCTCAGTACAACCAGGAATTTAAGGAAGATGTAAATTTGACTTTAATTTTAGTTGGATTTGTGTTTTTTTTTAATGGGTATTTATCTCTGTTTTCAGCTTTGGTTAAAAAGAATGGTATTTTCAAAAAAGTTTTCTTTTGATTTCAAACATATCCACAGTTGGATCTGAGCTCCGCTAAGCTCACAGTTTAATACAATCTTCAAGACTCATTCACAGACATGAAAAAGGAATCCACGAGTTTGTCTCTGGAAGATAGCAGAATCCCTGTTGTTGAACAGAAAAGAAAATCATCTACACAAATAAACCTTGTGCGTTGGTCACATTTACCACAGGAATATAACTGGCATTGTTGTCACATCTCATCACTTTGATGCCATCTTCTTTTTTTATCATACTTTAACTGTACACAGAACAGGCACAACACAACGGAACATCTGTCTTTACAGCCCTGCATAAATTTACAGTCACTGTGCTACATTAAACACAGCACAAGAGGAATCACAGGCGTGTTAACACCTGTGATGAGCGCTGCTGGCAGGCTCTGTCAGGTTGGTTTATTATAAGCTGTGTTCGCCTCAGGCGTCAAGTGAGTGCTTCTCGATTAAACTTGTTGGCACAACAAATCAAAAGAAGAACCATAGCCTGTACAAAAGTACATGATGTGAGCTATGATTAAACCAATAAATGCTTGTGAGGTCTGTCCAGTTCAGCTAAGTGTCTTTCCGCACACCTTCCCAGTCTGATTAGTATAATTGATGTAAATAGACACTGCAGAGGAGATGTTCGTTTTTTACATTATGTGCAAATCTGAATTCCTTTAGGACACAGAGCATGGTTGATCTACAGCAGAAAGCAGGAAACACTCATCCAGCTGAAAGATGGCATAAACCTTTGGAGCGTAAGACTTTGAAAAGGAAAAATAAACTGTTAAATGAGCACAGTGCCTCCACAGTGGCATCATCTCTTTTACAAAGTTATGTAAAAAGGTCATAATTTGGTGAAACACAACAAAATCCTTAATTTGAGACAGGATAAAAATGATTTGCTCATAGTTAATTTTTACCATCCATCTCATTTTAGTGTCAGCACAGTGTGTATGTATAGTGTAATTACATTTCAAAAATGCAGAAATGAGGTAAAACAAAGAGTATTCTCAACTTGCTTGATTGTGACCAAACACAAGCTTGACTGACTGGTCTAAATGCTGCTGAATCAGTATATAGTATATACAAGTTTTCCATGTGCAAAGTAACAATCTATCCATCTCTTTACCTTTTCAGTGTCTCCACGTGAGCTGCAGCACCTCGGTGGCTCCTAGAGAACGTGCTTAGAGCTGACTGTGTTCTGGGCTCCTGCCATCAGGCCCACTTGTGGCCCCCATCCAGAGCACACCCCTACTCTCTTCTGCCTCTGTTTTCCAGTCCTGTTGAGAGACAACCATAGAAAGTGTCTCAACTGGCTCGTAAACCCACTGTAAACACATTCTCTGTGAGAGTGATGCGGGAAGAGAACATTAATGTTATTCCCGCTCACCAGATCCTCACATACTAAACATACTGTACCAAAATAAAAAAGCAGGCCTGGGTGTTGTAGGCCTGTAAGATTCAAAATATACAGTAAGATTTTCCAGATTTGTTGAGAGTTAAACACTCACAGTAAGTACCTTAAAGACCCATATAGCAAGAAAATTTAAAGTTTATTTAAGTGGAAACCAGCTCATTTAGGAATTTGGACTTGTGCATGCTTGCAAAGCCACACAAATGCTGAAAGAGTTATAATATATATAAGTCTACATAACATTTTCTTATATCAGGATATTATTGTTTATTCTCTTTTCGTTAAATTATTTTATCAGGCATAATTTTCCCATATTCACAGTATCATATGTTTTTGCATAGTAATACATAGATAATAGATCATCCATGTGCTTTCATATCAGTGGATTACATTTTATAATATTACACCTGAAACCCACAGAAAGAAAGTCTCCAAAAGTTACAAAACCATCTCTAGAAACACAATTGTCTTACAATTTTTTTTTTTTTTTTTTGTATATCATCAAAATTTAGGGTGGCTCTGTTAGTAGTTAATAGTAAGAGTCATACATATGTATGACTGTGGCTGTTAGAAACGATGAGTAGGAGCTTGAAAACTTGCATAATGACAGGAAGGTAAGATAAACAGAAAGTAACCAGGATGTAAATCAAAATGACAGTAGTGTATTCCTGAAAAAACTCTCCACTGTCACAGGAAATGTTCTCGCTATACAACATCTCAACAACAGTAGTTTCTGGCTGCTGTGGGATTTAAAGCAGTGACCTTACAACTCCCGGACCAGGTGTTTGTGACTTGTACTCGCTCTGAATATATGTGCGCAACACTGAACACCATCCTCACAATAATCCACCCAACCACTGCATGTGTCTGTTATCACATCTAACTGTAACATACTCTTCACCTTTTGACTCTTCACACAGTCTTTGTCAGCAGATGAAGTTTTCACAGTTACCATGGTGATGGATGTGAGACAGCAGTAAGCACTTTTATGCCACCTCATCTAGACACACCCTAGAAATGCAATAGATCAATGACCAAACTCCAAGCGCTGATGATGTGACACGACTGAAAGCAGTGGGGAAGAAAACATAAACCTAGACACTGATCAAAACAAAAATGATGTAATGGACTCTATTTATTTCTTGTACAGTAAATCTCACCAGCTTGGAGCAAAATTGGCATGTAGGGAGACAAGTTGTACATTTTCTTCATGCATTTTAAGATTATTATTAATTAAACTAAACTGCCTTATATAGTCAGAATTTGAATTACTGGTGGATAGTTTGTGATTTTCCCAGTGAGGATCAATAAATGACTGAGCTTATGATTATACTGTATTATATTTTATTAATTTGATTCTGAAAAGTAACAATTAAAGTTATCAAATAAATGTAGTGGTGTAAAAAATATCATATTTGCCTGTAAACTGTAGTGAAGTAAAGGTATGAAGTAGCAGAAAATAAAAATACTCAAGTACAGATACCTCAAAATTACATAGTACAGGAGGCTACTTGGTTACTTTAAGTGTAATGCTTTCTGTTAATGTAGGCAGAGTCAAGAGGTTCGGTTACAGTTTGACTAAATGTTAGTGGACAGGAATGGATGACAAGCATGAAGCTAAATGTGATATTCATGAAGGTGTTGGACTGCTTTGAGTATAAGAAGTACCTGGGATTCTGAATACATCACAACCAGCAGTACTGCCATAAACATAATACCATGGTGCATTCAAGATAGTATCATATAACAAGCAAATATTATCAGTTTATCTTTATTTGATCTTGATCGTGACTTTCTAGTTGATCAGTTTTTGAAAATGTTGTAACTTTAGGTTCATTGACCTACGTTCTCTGGCGCTGCGTAATAAATCTGAAAGTGTGTCAAAGATAATTTGCATTACAGCAGTAGAAAACTACAAGCAAAGCTTATACAAAGTCATGTATAATATGTTATTCAAGTACAGCAAGTATTGTGAAAAAGGCAAGCTGATATAAGCTAAAAACATAATGCATTTATCTTTATTTGCGTTTATTATTTTGATGCTGTTCAACAACAACACTATTATCATACAATTCATTAAAACTGTGCTCATATTAATAGAAAACAAATGTTTCAGTTATTTTAAGGACCTTATTTTGGCTCAAGACAGAAGTTAAGACACATGCAGTCCAGCAGTCTTGTCCTGTGGTGAGAGGAGAATGGCAACATTCATTCAAGCTACTAGGTGGGCTAGAAGTATGCACACACAGTAACACCACTGTACAACAGTAGTGTGCACTGGGACAGCTTGCATCAGTGCCATTAGCTGATGTGCTGTACACATTAGGTCCAGCTGGATAATGTGCCATGTCATAGAGCAGTCATTGTGTCATGCTAGATTTGATTTACTTCTTGAAAAAGCTTTAACACTTCTCAGACCAAACCCAATAAAGCACCACTGGAATGATGTTGAACAGGATGTTTTGCAGCACAATCTGCCAATGATAACACTGCAGGAAATGATGTTGAGTCAGCATGAGCAAGATCTTTGCAGAACATTTCCAAAACCTTTTTCAAAACCCTGCTTGAGACAAATTGGGTTGTTCTGGAGTTGTGTGCTCCCTTTTTATTTGGGACAGTAGTTGAGAAGTACAAAACAGCCTAATCTGCAGACACAGAGCACCTTATCATCCCTTGAATGTATCCCTTTGAGTGCAGTTTTTCTTTTATTAGGCTATATAAACATACTTATATATATATATATATATATACAAGTTAATATTTATGTATGATGGAGGAGACTGTATTGAACCTGTTATTTTAATTTTCATGCTTTGTATAGTAGCCTAGATACATATTATTTAGGCTATATTGTCTGTTCTCATACAGCTTTTTTGCTTCTCTGACAATTAACACGAGATCACCAATCTAATCTAATCTAATCTAATCTAATCTAATCTAATCTAATCGAAATACACTATAACTCATTGAAGTGCTTGTCTTTGTCTCCATGGCAACAGCACCTGAGGCTCATGGGTAATCATAGTGTGGCGACCCTGACCGGACGCAAATGTTTGTGTGTTCTGTTGTGTGCAAAATGGGTTGACACTGTTGTGAAAACTGTTGCATGTATTGGTTCCCGCCGTTTTCTGTGAAATGCCGTGCTGTTCTGGCCAATGTGGGATGGGGGGAGGAACAGGTGCGGGAAGGTATAAGAAGGGTAACAGGTGGGCGTCAGTTGGCGCGGGACACGGGATTCCCTGAGGGAATGTTGTTACTGTTTTCAGTTTTCTATTTCATTTTCTCCTGTGAGCACACGGTGCCAGGTAAATCACAGTTGTTTTGCATTCTCTATTCTGCTCAATAAAACCCAAGAAAAGACAAAGAAGGTGTGCTCCTCACTGTCAGCATAGGTGCTAGTGCATAGCTGGCTAGTTAGTTGTCCCAGTATAGGCCCGGTTCGGGCAGCTCCTCTCAACCGAGCTAGCGGTCGTCACAATAGTATTTAGTTAGATCTAACACTAAGACAAAGGAATTTTCTGAAATTCTATAACTGCTATAAACGCATAATACCCGAGAGCTCCCTGTGTTTCTATGTTGAGGAACATTCAAGCCATTATTCAAAGGAAACTGTCAACTTAGCATTTAGCCTACAGCTCCACAACTTTATATCAAAAAGCTAGGTAGGTCACCTGCCATCACGTCGCTTCATTAAGTAGTTAGCTAACAACCGTCTTTAGGGGCATTAATTTGGACTCATTTTCCGCCGTTAGTCATACACATATGTAGGCCTTAAACGACATTTATTCGCCGAAGCAGAGTTTTAGGAGCTAATTAACGCAAATTCTCCAAAGCAGTTGAACAAGGCTTCACTTCATCGAGCTAGGTATGTCCTACTTTTGCTAATTTGCTTTTTTGTTTGGTGGGTAACTTTAATGTGTCGGTTATCTTGCCGTTAATTTACCTGTACGTCAGGTTGTTTGCATTACTGTTAATTGTGAATTCATTATTCTGCCTCAGTTTTCTTTTAAACTTCGGTTATTGCTGCCACGATGTTTATTTGATTGATATTGTATATTCATGTTTAGGGTGCGAGGGCATTTGATTGTTATTGTCCGCGTGTGCGTGTATAGTTGGTTATATTGGCTGCGTCCGAAACCGCCTACTACCATACTGTATAGTAGGCGAGGCGAGTAGTATGTCCGGATTCGTAGTATTCCAAAAACAGTAGGCGAAAAGTACCCGGATGACCTACTGCTTCCGGTTGGATTTTGCAGTGTGCATACGATGGACACTTCACTATCCCATGATGCCCCGGGAGAGGAGTTATCCAACGAAGAAGACGCTGCTATGAAAACGTATGTCACGTGATGTATCAACATGGCGGATGTAGTACGTCCGAATCTCATTAATACTACCAGGCTTCATACTATACAGTACCTACTGTTTTAACGGTCAGTAAGTAGGTACTTCATCTCTTTCAGTACGTACTGTCACAGTATGCGGTTTCGGACGCAGCCATTGTCATTGTAGGACTTATTCAGCTTTAACTGTATTGACCCAAGAGGAAACCGTAGGCCTAAACATTTCATATTAAGAGACTGTCTGCATCAGTTCATGTTTGTGTGATTTTAATTTGCATAAGTTAATAGTTGATTAGCTTGTTGCATTTGTTTGCTAACTTTTATTTGTTTGGCAATAATATTAAATTAAATACTGTTGGGTTTTAGTGTTAGACATAATATGAATACAGCCTGAGCTCTGGGAAATTGTAATGCAAGTTTTCCTTTAATTTTCTAATATTTTGCAGATTATTTTGATGACACAGAAAAGAAGTGGCATATTATTGGCTTAAATAATCAGTAGCCTAATTTTCCTAATTAATCATTTTGTTAGTAATATATCAGAACATAGTGAAAACACCCAAGTCTCTTTCATATGTTATGGCAAGATAAGTATTCACATTATGACAATATAATACTGAGAAAAGCAGGAAATATTCAAGAAGCTGTAAACATAAATGTTATGTTGCTTGAAAAATGGCTTAAGCATTTAGCTGAATATCAAGTTAGCTGCTGATTATGTTTCTACCTATCCATTAATTGACTAATTGTTGCAGCTCTGTATCATTGATATGTATACGATGGACATGGCATCACCACTTCCCTCCCCTATGCAAAAATAAAACCAAAATATTGTGATTATGGCGGCTGCCATCTTGCTTTTATTGCAACCAGATTCTGTGTAGTAGTGGCCAAAAGTGGAGTGACCACCAAAGTTGGCAAGTCAGCTGAAATGCACCTTTTTAAATATCATCACATAACTTACTAAAAACAAGCTTACCAGAAAAATGATCTCTTTTACACACATCTGTGTGATAATATCTACCAAACACCACAGAAAAGTTTTGGCATGAGTTAACTGACTCAGCAAGCCGGTCAGTTCTGTGGTCTGTTTACCCTGAATGGACAGGCCACCCACAACCACTGACCTACAGCTCATTAGCTCTAATGGAGTCAGTTTAATGAACCCTGCCTGGGTTGATTGACAAGCAGCGCGGTGTGGCACACACTGCAGTCTGCAGACCAGGACCAATCTACCTCCCTCTGAAAAAATGTCAGTGGCTTCATTCATATGGTAAAAGTCACACGGTCATTTTGGTAACCCGACCCGCCAAGGCTGGCTCTTGTTCAAAGAGGAAGGGAGGTGCAGGTGACTTTATCAGAAAGCCACCAATGCACTTTGAATAGCATGTGGCTCAGTATGTCGCTGTGTTCATTCATGGAGATCTGCTCACCAGGTTTATGCGTATTTTTGTGTTGAATTTATGCTCTCAAACTCAGAAGTCCCTAATAATGGGCCACAGTGAAATCTGCATGTGGATCTCTAATCCCTAATTAGACAGCCTTCAGAAGGTGCAAACCTCCACCAAGGCAATTTGGTTTCCCCACAATGCCATTACACCTAAATGCAATATTCCTGTTTGACCCTAATATGATTATTTGACCATGAAAACCTACCTCTGGCATTTGGAAAGACGCTGATATCATTGGAGTTTGAATGTTGTTCAAAAAAATTATGGACATGAGCGATCGCTAAATGGCTAAATAAATGTTCCGTGCAGACTGACCTACGGTAGTAATGTGTACTTTAAAATCTTTCATGGATGCAGGCAACTTGTACTGTTTGGCTGTGTGTAAGACCATTTTAGAGTTTGTAGCCTCCTGCTACAATTATTACAAGGCATTCACACATACGGAGACAAAGTAACTGTTGCTGAGTTCAGGGAATGCTAAAGTTTTGGGGATGTGCTGTGGATTAATGCTGGATAAACGCTGTCAGTTAAATGGTTAAAAACGTTTTTAACAGTTTGCCAGAAAATAGGCTATAGGGCCTACATGCATGGCAGAAAGCTAATCACACACGCTTC